TTTCGTACTTACATAACACACCTACCACTGGTACTGAAGCTAGAACCTACATTTCCTTCATGTCCTTGAAATTTCTCTCAAATTTTAATTATAGTCTATATTTATCCGTGTGTGTATGAGACTGTAGACATACACACAACATATTGGCTCTTTAAATCATGTCAGTCTTTAACCTCATAGAGCCAAATCTACCCTTGACCTCATGGGGATGAAGATTTAACACTTGAACCTTTATAAAGATCTCATATGCTCTGAAAGTCTTTTTGAACCTTGGATATTAGGCTTAGAGATCAGTAAAATCTTTCATGCAAAGGACAAGGGAGAATTTCTGACTTTTTCAGGATTTTACACTTGATCACACATTTTTCTTAAGTATTGAAGCAGACAGTTATGTGAGATGAGGCAGACTGTAGAATTCGATCAAAGGATAAATTCCCTCAGTTAATGAGAAGATACAAGCACTGCTTGAAAAAAAACAAAATACAGGCCTTTCTATTGCAATCACTTAATATTTTCATAAGCTAATAACTGTGTCTGTAGCCTCAATTCAATATATATATATATATAAAAGATTTGTACAACCTAGTCCTTGACATCAGCATGAAATATTGAAATGGTTTGAAATATTGAAATGGTGGGCGCATGGACAGCATGTCCCCTCAGTTCATGATTCTGTTATAGAGGAGGTGTCTGCTCTAGATGGTAGGATGGACTCACTGATATCTGTGTTTCCTTTGGGATCTTTTTCTGTAAAAGTGAAGAATAGAGTCTATAATTCGAAAGTCAAGATAATACATTTTTATTCTTCATTGCTTGGAATATGATGTCTAAATTTCTTATAGTGGTTAGGTAAACAGAATAGATCTTGCAATTACTTCTTCATTGCCATTATCATTTTCAAAGAAAACTAAGTAACTTTTCTATTCATCCCCACTGAAGGAGAATAGATTGTCACATGTAGAAGGACACACTTAGCACCCTCTTTCACCCTAAGGGGGTTGGCAGACTGCTTCCTCTTTCATCTCTGTCCTGCACACGTGCTTGACTCATGCAGAACTTGACTCTGTCAGAGCTTCTCAGTGGATATGTGTTAGGCAATACAATGCATGGGTTCTGGAATCAGAGAAAAGCGGTTTCAGAAGTCAAGAGGCAGAATGATGTGATGATTATCAGCACAATCTCTGCAACCAGAATGCATGAGTCTGAAGCCCAGTTCCTTCAATTATTATAGCTCTGGGATCCTGATTCTCTCTGGTCTTCAGATGGCTCATCTGCAAAATGGGAATACTAATGTTATCTTCCTCAGAGTTTTGTTGAGGAGGTAAATTATGTTACTATTTTTAAAGTGCTTATAAAGTGGCTAGCATATAGCAGGGGTACTGCTTGTAGAACAAATTAAAATCCTCATTCAAGATTTGGGTTCATGATTTGCTGTGCCACTCACTAGGTCTGCAACCTTGTTTAGGACTTAACCCTCCTCTACTCCATCTATACAGGTGATTCAGTACAATAGTTTCTACCTCATATGGTTGTCAGGATTGAATGTGCTGACACATATTAAATAACTTAATACAGACGGAAGGTGGTAAGTCTTAAGAAATACTATGTATTATTGCCATTATTAAAACTGATGATCTCACAACTCACCCAATTTTGTGCATTAACTCAATGCATATTATTTCTAAACCTTTATAAACATCTTGTCTTCTCTGTCTTGGTCCCTACTAGATATTTGCAACTGCATGAATTTTTCATAATCCCCAGCTAATTAGTTCCTCATAGGGATTTCCTTGTTGCTGGGGGAGGTACCATTATCTTCTTCCAGACTCAATATATTGTATTAATAATATCCCTTATTGTATTAATCTTTTGCAATCACTTGTATTTTATTCTATTTAACTCTCCTGCAATCCTTTCTTACATTCAACTCCTTCAGTGAGTCCTAGTTGTAAAAATCATTGTAGCTATGTTAACTATTAAAAAACTTTCCAGATTTTTTTTCTTTGGATCCACTCTCTCATGTTCTAGTCTTACTTATTTTTGCAAAGTACATTTAAAATATTATTTCTTTCTTGAGCAACCTTCACTAGCACTGAAATTCAGTGGAGACTGCTCAGCCTGACCTATAAGATCTTTCACATGATAATCATATCCAAGCTTTCCAGAACTTTCTCTGTACTTCCTGAATATCCCCTGTCCTTTCCTATCTCTAGTATTTTTCCATATTCTTATTTTTACTTTAAACTCGTCATCTCCTTCTGTTGAAATTTTATAAGCCCCATTTCAAATTTAACTTTCTTCATAAAATATTTTCCCAATTGTTCCTCCCCAAAAAGCAGATCATTCTTTAAAATGTCATTGGCACATTTTGATACTTCTTTCACTGTCATGATTACACCTTTTCAGAGGTCAAATATTTGCTTTATCAAAATGACCACTCACTCAACCAATGCATATGCTATAAGAGTAAATGGACTATAAAGTGCCTCATTTCTTTTTTGAATTCTGAGCAGTGGTAATTGCAGTGAATTATTCCTAGTTCAGTAAATTTTTGCTTCTGATAAGTTGCTTACACAGAGATTGCATCTCTATAGCAGCTATTGTAGTCTTACATGTTACCTCTGTCCTCCTAGCTAGCCCGACTGATTGGCATGTAGCTTAGTTCTTGCCAGCTTTTGTCACTTATAGCCTGTTGATGCTAGGTCAGAATACAGAATTAAGACACTAAAGTTTTTATTCTACTCATATTTATTTCTCTAGGGGTAATAAATAAATCCGGAGACAAGCGTCTTAGTTTTAAGTGTACTATAATCTACAACAATAAAATATATGTTTCTTGTGGACAATGACCTTGCCTTGTTTTATTTTTGTACAGATCTTCCATAGAAATTAGCAGACTTGTATATACAATTAAGATATTATTTGATTTGTTTAGGAACTCTGACATAATTTTTAAAACTATGGATATCAAGTTATTATAAAGCATCATGTAACCATTTATACCTTTCTTTTATGTATAGCTGTTGATTAGGCAGTTTAAGATCATGGTCATTTCATTCAGTTTAATTAAGCCATTTAATTAAGCCTGTCATTAAATAATATTTAAAATTTATTAAATCAAAACTTGAATAATGTACTGTAAAAGTGCTAGTAATTTTGTTTATTTTCCCCATCTTATTCTTTTACACAGCAGTGTTTTTCCATAAAGTTTACATTTCTTTCCTATTAAAAAAATTTGCATAATAACCTCTTACCTCTTTTCTAGTTACTATAGCTAGTATGCAAAATCTAAATTAATAATACAAAACTGACCCTTTTTCATATAATTACAAGTGCTAAAACTTTGCTATAAAAATTAAACTATCATTCAGTTATATTACATTAGAATTGTGTCTGACTTAAAATCACTTCCACCTTATTCCCACATGTGCCTGTAAGTTGAACACCCAAAAGACCAAGTTATTTACACAATACAACTCAAGAGTTGTAGTGTATGTATTTGAGCTTTAGTTAAAATTTAGTGTCTTTCCCCCTAATTTTATTGAGGTATTATTGACAAATAAAAACTGTACATATTTAAGGTGTACAATGTGATATTTTGATATACCTATACACTGTGAAATCATTATCCAAATCAAACTAATTAACATGCCCATCACCTTACATAGTTAGCATTATTGTATATGTGTGTGTGTGATGAGAACACTTCAGATGTACTCTTTTAGAAAATTTCAAGTATACAATTTACCTAGTATATCCCCAGAAGTGGAATTGCTGGATCATATGGTAGTTCTATTTTTAATTTTTTGAGGAACCTCCATACTGCTTTACATATTAGCTATACTAATTTACATTCCTACCAACAGTGTACATGGGTTCCCTCTTCTCCAAATCCTCACCAACAGTCATCCTTCGACTTTTTGTTAATAGCCATCTTAACAGGAGGGAGGTAATATCTCATTATGGTTACCTGTTAGCCATTTATATGTCTTCTTTAGAAAACTGTCTATTTGAATCATTTCTCTATATCCTAATCGGGTTGTTTTTTGACATTGAGTTGCAATGATTATATATGATGAGTATTAACCCCCTATCAGTTATATAGTTTGCAAATATTTTCTCCCACTTCATAGGTTGCCTTTTCATTTTGCTTATTTTTTTGTTGTTGTTGTTGTATGAAAACTTTTTAGTTTGATGCACTTCCATTTGTTTACTTTTGCTTTTGTTGCCCATGCTTTCAGTGTCAAATTCATAAAATCATTGCCATGACCAATGTCAATAACCTTTTCTTCCTATAGTTTCTTTTAGGGGTTTATTGTTTCAAGTTTCACATTTAACTGTTTAAATTTGTTGTTAGCTGATTTTTGTGTGGTGGAAGATAAATGTCCAATTTCACTCTTTTCCATGTAGATATCCCGTTTTCCTAACACCACTTATTGAAGAAACAATCTTTTCCTTATTGTGTATTCTTGACAACTTTGTCAAGGATTAGTTTACCCATGTCTATGCATGGGTTTATTTATGGGCTTTTTAGAATTGTCAAAAAGGCTAAAATCCCTTAAATCTGCAAATAAATTATATAGGTAGATATTTTTCTCTTTATCTAGCCTGCATATAATGTGAATTAACTTACCTCAAATTTCTTAAATTCCAAAAGTGATTATGGTTTTTGGACAGAGTTTTAGGAGTCAGATGAGGAGAGACATATTCAGGGTATGGGGAAGGTCACTGCAGGCCCTTCCCTGACTAGCCTCTGCCGGCCTGCTGATCACATGACAGCACAGCATCCATGCCCTCCGCATACTCTCTCCAAGTAATTGTAATCCTTAATGAAATAATAAGTTTTGTCAGCAAGCTCTTGTGTATGGCAACACTAGATGCTGAGTGTGTAGTTTAATAAGGGGTCTTATGACTCTTAAAAACCTTTAAATATGATATTTCCTCTTTGTAAAAACTGAAAAATACACCATTATTTTATATCCTCTTTTTCTATACTCTAGAAGAAGATTTTGAAGATGTACCAGCTCCAAAGAAAGCAAAAGGTGAGTTCATTGTCTTTGGATCATTTTCAACTTTCCTTTCAAGGATCTATGTTTTGTCTGTCTTGTTTTATTTAACTATTCTTAATCTACTCCTAAGTATTTCTAACCAATATTTACATGGTCAATTTATGTTTTAAATGAACTTTTTTACACTATTTAGAAAATATATGTCTCCTTACACATTGAAGACATTAGTTGGGCATTGATTCATTTATAAGTAATTAACAGACACATTTATTGGGCAATCTGCAGAAGCAATATTTCAAACATATTATTTCATTAAGGATTACAATAAAGTCATGTTTTTATTAAGAAAAATTCAGATAAGTCATTTATATTAGTAGCATTATCATAAAGGAAAGAAGGGAGGAAGGAAGAAAGGAAAGCAGGAAGGGACATATAATACTACAGCAAAGAAATAAATAAAATGTGCTTGAGTCAGATGTGAAAAAGAAAGGATACAGGATATCAGGCTGCTGCTATACTTTCATGGCAAGGATGATCACTAAAAACATGTCTCTCCAAATTTAAAATTCTTTTGACTAAAATATTCTTCTCATAGCCAGATTCCACCTTTATCATATTTTAACTCTGAGCATCAAAGACCTCTTCTCAATAAAAGAATGTATGTCAACTAGTCCTCGTTTGTCAATATCCAACACATCAGCACCAGTTTTCCTATTTGAACAGTTGCCTGTAGCATGCCATTTTTTCCCATTGTCTCATCTTCTGTCTTTTGCTCTTCTGTTAAATTTTGTAGTGAAAGTATGAATAGAATCTGTATAAAAATCTTAAGTGTACTATAAAAAGGGTAAAAGCCTCCTGTTTCTTTCATATTGTGCTCCTAGTTAGATATTCTCATTCCCATACATATTTATATAATACCTATAAACATACAAGTTATTTAATTTCATATTTTTGTGTCCACTAGAAGAAACTGAAGATGTATCTTCCACAAAGAAGCAAAAAAGTAAGTTTATAATTAGTTAAAATTTCTAAATTGTTCTATATTAAAGACATTTAACATAAATTTATTCTTTTGATTCTTTTAAGAAGAGTGGTATTAGAAGAAAAAGATTTTTAGCACAGACATGAAGAATGACATTAAAGTTGGTCATTTATATTTTAAAGAGAAGTTCACTAATTTTTTTGTGTCAGGCAAGAGGCCCATAGGTGGAGGAATTACAAGTAATGGCTGAAGTGGCATTTATCACCAACAATTCTACACAGTTCTGATTCTTATTACTCTGAATCTAGCTTAAATATGTGTTACTGTCTGCTTTGTGATAGGACAGCTGAAGTAATATGCTAAACTTTTGTAGATCAAGTACAAGAAATGAAGAAATAGATTTTAGCAATTCAATTGCTTGGAAACTCACTTGTAAGATTCAAAGTACTTTTTGATTTTTCTTGATGTATGGTAGGCTCTTATTCAATCTTTGGGATCATTTATTTTATAATGCAATCAATAATCATGCAGTTACATAATTCATTGTCCAAGATACTCATTATTTCAAGTCTTCCAAATTAGACATTTTTGTTCAAATGGTAAAGAAATGAATTTTGGATTTACATGTGCATTAAATAAAATCATTATAGAGCAGAGTAAAGGAAGCAATTTTTTGAAATAAGCATAACTGAAGTTTGTTTCACATAATGCTTTTAAAGTAAAGAACTAAACATTTATCTGAAGAATTGATGTCTCTAGGTTCTGCAATGCTTTTTACATGGATTTGTGCAGAAAATTACTAAGATGTTATTTACAATAGCAAATGCCTCCTACTTTGTATGAATAGTTGATTCATTAAACAGATATTGAGTTGCAAGTACTGCTTTAAATGCTGGAACTACTGCATTATATCCATTATAACCCTTTATATAATAAGGTTGTAAAACTCAAGGAATTGTCTGGAATCTTATATACTTTTTGATATTATTGCAAAATCCAGAAGAAAAATAATTATAAATCAATCTGGGCATGTTTTTGATTTATACAGTAACATTTTCCCATTTGTTAACCTACTGGTAATAATTTGTGGCTATGTCATATAAAATCTCTTATTTCATAAATAAATATTAAAACACAATTCAATAAAATAGATGGATTATATCAATGCCAATTTTCTAGTTGGGATATTATACTATAGTTTCATAAGATGTTACCATTGGAGGAAATTGGGTGCAGGTACATGGGATCTCTCTGTATTATTTCTTACAATCATATGTGACTATACAATTATCTCAAGATAAAAATTTTAACTAAAATGTATAAAATAATTAAATAATTTTAACAAAAAGATTTCAGATATTTTAAGTTCAGTTCAGAGATTTATTGCATCAAAAGAACATTTCCTATTTTCATCTTACTATGAAGTAGTTCTATAGCCTGATATTCATGAGTCTTTTATGTCAGCTCTCAAATTTGCAGGCATAATGATATTTATATTAATAGCTTATTCAACATCAATTAAACAAATGTGTCAGAACAGAGCCCACCTCTGATAAGGTTCAGCTGGAAGGGGTACTGTCATTGATAGGTTCTTATACTTTTACCACTGGTGCTGCCACTTCTCCTCAATGCAGTCCCAGCTTTATGGCCATGTCTCTCTGTAGCCTATGCAGCCCCCCAAGCTCCAACAACCTCCACAACCTGGAGGGGAGGGCATTGTGTCACTGCCTCTGTTGGAAGTTAGAACAAAGGAGAAAATATTTCTGGATGAGATTCAGTGGAAAGGAGAAGAGCTAAATTCAAGATTTCTCCAAATTACTTTCATCTCTGAAAACCCAGTGACTGAGGTCAGGTACCATCCAAGGTGATGGAATCAGAATACTCTTTTGTTGCTTTTCTCAGCTCCATCTACCCATGTTTCGCTTTGTTCTACTTCATGAGCCCTTACTCTCATACGGATTTGGCCATCTTTTCCATCTCCCATATAGCACTAGCTTCAATTGTCCTTTCTTTCCCTAGTCTTCTGTAAAAAGTCTGTGGTTGGCTGATGAAATGCAAATGGATAGGAAGGAAAACAGTGAAGGGTAAATAGGCGCCCATGATCCTGAAGAGATGCTGACCTCACCCCCTAACAAAACTGCTATCTGGGAACACCAGCTCACTGAGTCCACAATTCATGGTCATAGTCACCACGCCACACTCGGTTGCTCAGCTTTGAATTTGCTGTGTTGCTTTTACTCAGAGCTGCTACCTGAGAGTACTATAGGCTAAAAGAGTAATTAGGTCACCTCAGAAGAGTTATTGCCTCCAGAGTTAAAAGCAAGTAAAGGCAAGTAAAGGCAAATAAGAAAACCTCAAGACTTTAGGAACCACAGGGCTCTCTGTGGCATTATAAAAGACACCCACACAAAAGTTTTTTATTTGCATATAAATAATCTCATTAATATTTTGAGAATTAATCTCATTCATATTTTGAAACTTGTCACTATGCTGTAGGATAACAGTCTTTCTGATTGCTATGCATATCCATAGATGTCTATACATTAAGCGCTTTGACTTTGGTAATTTTTATTATCGTTTATTAAGGACTTACTATGTATTAGGAAGAGTTTTAAGGGCTTCACACCTGTTAACTCATTTAATTGTCACAATATTTCTTTGAGATTTTGTTTTTTTGTTTTCATGCATGAAGAATGTAAGACACAACAAGGTTTGGTAACTTGCCAGTAGCTGCAGAGGCTATCTGACTGCAGAATGTATGACCATATCTGCAGTACTATACTGCCTCACTGTGCTTTATAACTGCCTTCCTGCTCACATTCTGCTTGTTTTAACAAATCATAATGCTCTCTTCCTTAGGTCCCATCAGTTTCTTCCAATGCGTCTACTTGGATGGGTATAATGGCTATGGATTTCAGTTTCCTGTCACTCCCGCACGCCACCCTGGAGAGAGCTCTGGCCATGGAAATTCTCCAGGACAGAAACAAGGACAATAGACACATGTGCATGATCCTTACAAGTGCTTTAAGATTTTGAAAGTGGGATGTTTTGTTTTGTTCACAGTGGCATAGGCAATTGAAATCCTGCAATTCAGAGAATTTCTATGAAAATGTTTTACACTTCAGCTTGGTATGGAGAAAAAGCATAGACAAAAGGACTGAATGCTTAGCTGACATGTTGAAGTGTCTGATGCTCAAGAATCTGTTATGTGTGTTTGTTGCTATGTGGGGGTGCTTGTGTACCTAAATTAATTTAAAGTTTACTTATAATGCTCCTTTAAATGTATAATTGACAGAATTACAAAGTAAAATTCCTGGATTCAGCTAGATATTTATATTTTTAATGATAACATAGATTACACTCTAAGATAAAGGGTATAGGAACTTATCTGAAAGGGTCTCTTTTGCATCTTCTGGGTATCTGGACTCAATTTACTCAATAAGTTGATGCTTAATAGTTTCATTTTACTTATGGATGTTTCTATTTTAGTTGTTGCTATGCTCTAAGAATGGGTAACAATTGCATCAAAGAGTGCTATAGTTTCTTGTGATACTCTTTTAAAGCTCAAATTATCTCTGAACTTCAAATATGATACTACAGAGAATAAATGTTACGGGAATCTTATCTCCAAGATTTGTCTTGAATTACAATCAGGACATTTACTCCAGTGGAAATACACCACCCAATTAGACAGCTCTGGTGAATCATTTGTTTAAAATATAGGCAAATGATATGTAGAATTTTCAGACTTCTCCAGACTGTGTCCTAATGAAAATGTCACTTGGGTGAACTTTTATATCAATCACTAAATTTGGGTGACAGATGCTAAAATATTTTCATTTTACTTTAATACATTCTTTCTCAAAATGGCAAAATATGAATGCCATCAAAGTCTAAGGAGGACATTTTAACCATAAATGCCTTCATAAGATGTTTTACTTGTATTTTAGGTCATTGGTCCTCAGTGCCAATGAAATGGATGACAATTTTTAACCTACTTGATGATGTGTCCCTGGGAATGAACATATGGTTTTGTCACTTTCCTAGTGATATAAATGTTCATGTTCTTTACCACATTTTTATCAACTCTAGAAGTCACACCTCTGTGACTTTTATCATGTTTACAGTTGCAACTGAACTTATGACAATTAACTCAGGAAATAAATTGAGTTATCCTTGCTGGCATCATAATTATCTTCAGCAATATCTGAGATAACCAGAACCAATACTAGTCGAGTGATTTATTTTCAAAGACTGCAACTAACTATGGTTCTTTAGGACCAAGATATAAAACAGTTTCAGTAAAAATCATTAGGCTAGAGCATCAATGATACATTCTTTATTAGTAGTGGATTTCCAGTGACTTTTGTGAATCAAGTTGATCATCAGCCAGATGCTGGTGGACCTAATTCATACCATGAAAGTCAATGTTACAATGAACCAGATTAATGAACTCTTTATGGGGGAGGAGGGACAACATGGAAGTCTGTAATTTCAAGATTGGTCAGATGGCACCATCTTGCAAAGTCCCTTCATGTAGCAATGTGAACTTTTGGAAAGACAGTGGATAAAGTTTATTGCTCAACTGCTCCTCCAGTCTGTTCAACTTAATGATCAAATAAATAGAAATCAAATATGACAGTTGTTTTAGATTTCATAGAACACAATGGTTTATCCATTAATTCTTTCATTCAGTGTCTATTTATTGAGCACTGACTCTTTGTAGAGCACTGTGTCAGGCACTTGACTGTATAAGAAAAATACAGTGATAAATTCTACTTCCAGTGCTATTCTGACACAGTGTGTGACCTTGGAAAATTTACTTACACATACTATGGTTATTTCTCCACAAGTAAAATAGGATTGCAAGACAAATAGTATAATATTTCATAGAAGTATTTTGGAGACTAATGAAATATCTTAATATGGATATGATGTTGAAAGAAATTTCTGAAATAATACTTTTGGATATAGTATTATTTTTCCTCTGAGTGCTTTTCTGTTTCCTTCACTTTCAATATGAAAACTATTTGATAACAATAAAACATGACATACTTTATTGTAATTAGAGTTTAGACAAACCAATTATCATGTAAGCAATATTAATAATAAATAGATTTATCTGATTAAAGTTATAATGATGATAGCACTTTAAAAATAATATCTGAACTGTCATTTGTTGGTATGTTTCCATCAAATAAAATATTTCTCTTTCAAGTTTGATGCTTTACATTTTAAAAGCAAAAGATAAATTGTTGATAAAGAGTCTTTGTCTCCAATAGTTCATTCATAATTTGTGTTATATTGGCCATAAATATGTAAGCATTTCATAACTGTCTCAGTTCTTTAGATTGTTCAATTGGTATAAGCTACCCTCCTCATACCTCCTCTCTTCCCCACACTAAACGACCTCTTAGTAGTTAAAGATATGTAGGAAATAGAATTGATTTCACCTAAGGTTTTTGATTTGTGTTTAGTTTTCATAATGCCTGATAAATCATTCAAATGGGGCAAGTTTTTTGGGGAATAAACCCCATGAGAAACACCTGTATGTTAACTCATTCTGGCATATCTTTGTGAAAACTTCTTAAGAAATATTTTAAAGCTGGTACTCTATATTTATTTAGATACTCAGCTTATTTTCTTTAGTAATTTCTCCTGGGAAAAAAGGCAAAGAGCATAACAAATATTGTTGATGGAGAACTCAGTGACAATCTAGCCCAACTGGCAGATATAGAAAATAAAACTAATCCTTAGAGAAACTCAGAAAGTTGCCCAAAGTCACTAATTATTTCAAAGTCAGGCCTAGAACTTTGGTCAGCAAACTCTCAATGGCCTTGACTACTTTTCAGGGTGTTATTATAAACCATGGCTAATTTTTTTTTCTAATATCCCAAATCTACCTTTCAAATTATAATCAGTGTTAAAAATCTAACCCTATGTGGAGACATTTGTTTTTTCCTACTTGAAAGCTGAAAAGTAGCCTGCATAGCTAAGGAAATAATCAACAGAGCAAATAGACAGAATGGGAAAAATATCTACAAACTATATATCCAATAAAGGGATAATATCCAGAATCTACAAAAAACTCAAATGAATCAGCAAGGGGGGAAAAAAAGAAAGAAAGAAAAAGAAAAAAAGCATTAAAAATGGGCAAAAAACATGAATAAAAGCTTTTCAAGATAAGATAAAAAAACAGCCAATAAATACTTAAAAAATGTTCAATGTCACTAATCATCAGGGAAATGCAAATTAAAATTTCAGTGAGGTATCACCTCATCACAGTTAGAATGATTTTTATTAAAAAGTCCAAAAACAATAAATAGTGACATGGATGCAGAGAGAAAGGAACACTTATACACTATTGGTGGGACTGCAAATTAGTACAACCTCTATGGAAAACAGTATGGATATTGCTCAAAAAATAAATGTAGACTTACCATTTGACCCAGCAATCCCACTACTGGGTATCTACCCAAAGAAAAAAAGTCATTTTTATCAAAAAGACACCTGTTCTAAAATGTTTATTGCAACTTAATTCACAATTGCAAAGGTGTGAGATCAACAAAAGTGCCAATCAATTTATGAGTGGATTAGCAAAATATGGTATATGTATACCATGGAGTACTACTCAGCCATAAAAAGGATGAATATATGCCTTTCGCAGCAATTTAGATGAAACTGAAGACCATTATCCTAAGTGAAGTATCTCAAGAATGGAAAAACAAACACTGTATGACTCTAATAAATTAGAACTAACTGAGAGGCACACACATTCACAGGAGAAGTAAAAGTCATTGTAAATCTAGCAGGTGGGAGGAGAGAGGAAGGGAAAGGAAAAGACATACCTAATGGGTACAATGAACACTATTTGGCTGATGGGCACGCGTACATCAAGCGTTACATTGCTATACATGTAACAGAAACATTTGTACCCCCTTAATATTTTGAAATTTAAAAAGAGCGTGTTACATTCACTTGCTTTCAAGATAAAGAGAATGAATCTTGGAATAGGTTAGGTGACATGCCCAGGGGCACATTGCTAGTTAGTAGCAGAAGCAGAATGAGAACTTTAATCTTTTTCCAATTCTGTGCTGTATCTTCCCATCCTTTGTGACTCCATATGATGTCTTCATAAAAGCTTCCCTTTGTTATTTGCAAACTCATTAAGAAATGGAAACTTTGCACAATGTATCCTTATGACATTCTTTGCCCTACTTATTATAGGATTATGTCAATGTTACACTGTACCTTTCTCTCCTTAATCATATTGGTCCATAAAACATTTAGATATTCCTGTAGATGATTTCCTTTGTGTATAAAAGTTTTATTTTCCCAAATCAACTATAAAAAAATCATTAGTCATGAAAAACTCCAAATATTTTCCCCAATAAAAATAATAAAGGGAGGCAAAAACATCTTTCTTTATAACTCCTCCTAATTAAGATGTAAATTAACAAAATAAGAAAAGTAATTATAAAATACATTTGAACTCTAAAGGAAAGCTCAGAATAAATGATGTTGTCCATTAATGCTTGAGTCATACAAATTCCAGTAATAAGCACACGTGAGCAAAGTGGTGATAACACAGAAGGAAATTCCTGATCTCTCATACAGCCACATCCAGCTCCAGGACAGGTGCCCTCTGCAATATCATCAATTTGCTTATCTATACTCCTTATTAAACCGTGGACATGAACTAACATCAAGTCATTAGTACTATTTTGCTTTTTTACCCACTATGTCCAAAGCTCTCTTAAACAATAGCAGGTCAGGAGAATATGCTGTGCCTCCCAGTAGATCTGCCAGGCCAGATACCTTTTCAGAACACATGTACTGTGGTGGAGAGCCCACTGGAAGAGGGCCCCCAAATTGGAGGTCAGACTTTACCTCTAGGAGAAACTCTGGTCATTTGTCTTCTCTTCCCCTCAGTTCTTCACCTCTAAATGAAAATAAAAGTGCCTAAAGCACAAAGACATTCATCTTCAGTGAGAAATGCAATGGAAAAGTACCCTGTGAAGTGATGTTATTATTAAGACTTCAAATTCCCTTCCAGTTTTGTTATTAAATGATCCAAATACTCCCTGCACTGAAGACCTAATGTTGCCAGGTGGCATTAGCCAAAGCAGCAAATGAAAATCAGAATTGCGTGAGCCAAATGCAAAAATGAGAACATTGCCATTGGCAAAAACAATTGTGCTTTAAAAAATTCACTGTTTTGTGTCATTTTCATGGAGTTACAATATATCAGTGACAACAGAATATCCTTCAACCTACTGAATCAGAGCCTGGAGTTTGTAAGAGCCTGTGGAAAAGTGGTACTCAATGAAAAGCTGAGGTGGAAAAGTAACAAGCAACTTATGCGCCCCGTGACACTGCCATAGAGTTGAACGCTCATTAAAACATGTGAAGGCATTCCAGCAATCTATAATGGTGAAGGGAGTGTTCAAATACTAAATGTATTTGTTCAGATACTAACTGTAGCATCTCAAAACATTAAAACAGTTAGCATATGCCATTTGCTCAGGGAAAGAAGCATCTATCTCTCTCAGACACACGCACACACATAACTCAAAGAAAAACTATTTGTATATATCGGATGCAAACACAGACACAGATAATATGATATGAATGGAAGGTGCCTTTACAAAGGAAGCAATACTTTATATGAAAGGGAAACTTAACTCTGAATTACAGCAAGTTTGAAGAACAATGTAGCAAGCAAGTTATTTTTATCTTTGGAACATTTACTTATGAAAGAATATTTCTTAAAATCGGGACTATATTAACCTTGTTCAAAATCAAAATGGTATTATAAGTGTACATGGAAAGAGTCCTTTCACCTCATTTCTATTACCGAAGCTCCTCATCCACCCCTTTGCATCCTATATTTATGTCTTATGTATTCATTCTATGAAAATACAAATGAAAAAAATATACTGTATGTTCTTATTTTTTACTTTTCTCACACATGCTACATGTTATAAAAAATCATTTATTCCTTTCTTAACAATGTATCATGGAATATTATTTATACCAGTTCATGCAAAGCTTCCTCATTTATACAGACAGATATAGAGATAGATACAGAGAGATGTCATGCCCACAGTATACTGCACACATGTCCAGTGTAGATCTGGATGCATCTATGAAATCACAACCTACGTCAAAATACAGACTATAAACAGTGCCCCAGAAGCCTCATGCATGTTCTACCACTCAATACCACTTAGGCAAGCACTATTCTGACTTCCATCATCAAAGAATTGTTTTGACAGTTTTGACCTTCATATGAATAAAATAGTAAATTACATAGATTTTGTGCCTAGTTTCTTTTCTCAACTTTACACAGGTGAGGCTCATTCATTTTGTTGCACGTAGAAGTAATTTATTCTTTTTTATTGCCTTATAGTATCCATGTATGTATATGCCAGATAATTTATACATTCCATTATATATGGGAATGGAACTGTCTCCAGTTTTTGTCTGTTAAAAATAGCATTGCTATCAACATTCTTGTTAGTATCTTTTACTGCATATATGTGGGGGACATTATGCATA